GTGGATATTGGGTATCAGAAGGCAGTAAACGAACACCTGCTTAAGGTATGCATATGCTTCCAATTTTCATTAAATTCATTACATGATAAATATTAATACATTCATTACACTGAATAAAAAGCATTTAGATCCTAAATTTGTCGGCATTCTGATGGTTGTTTCGTTCAGATGTCATCTACCGGTGGATTTGTTCACAACTGTGAATGTATTTTAAATATACAGGTAAGTATTGGCAGATCAAATGAAACTGTTTTCCCGTAGGACTTCTGTTGTTGACTGAGGAAATAGCCCACGTGATACACGTACGTTAAGCGGAAAGTGCATGTATTTCTTAAGGTAGAGAAATACTGTAGAAGGTTAGGCTTACTGTGTATATTTTCAGTATATTTTTCAGTTTGTACAGATGCAATTAAAAAATCATTTCTAATGGTGAAATCAGTACACGCTACATACTAAAGCGTTTTACTTAAATAAAAAACAGTGCTGAATCCAATGTCTATACTCCATTCGTCTATTTTATTCACGACAGCTTTATGGCAACTGTACTAGACATACTACGACCCCAAAACCATCTACTACTACAACAGTGATTACGACAACAACAACATCTTCAACGACGTCTACGACAACTGCTCGTCCAGTGGAATCCTGTATGGACAAGACTGATTGCTCTAGATACGCAAATGATATCTGCATCCAATTCCCAAAGTGGAGCGCAGATTACTGCAAATTCTCCTGTGGATTTTGCAGTAGGTTTTGAATAGTTGAATAATATTTAAATCAAATATATAATTCCCAAAATGTATCAAAATAGTTATACCGTGCAGATAAGATCTTTAAGCAGCGAATAACAAAAAGAATAATAATGATAAAAAAGTCTTGAAATTTCAGTTTAATTTTTTTTCTCCTTAGTCATAAATATATCATTTTCAAAGCCAATCACAGACTCACCATCTACAAACCGTTTCTTGTATTTTCATTTTCTAAGTTTTGAGAATATTTTGGTTCTTTTCAGGTTGTTCTGTGTTGGTGGCTGATGTTGCCTTTATATTAGATGCTTCAGGAAGCGTCGGCAGTGCCAATTTTAATAAAATGAAGGATTTCGTTCGGAATTTTGTCAGTTCGTTTAATATCGGCAACCAGCATGTTCAGATAGCCTTAATTCAATACAGCAGCAGAACCACCATCGAGTCCTATTTCAGCAATGCGTCTTCAAAGGCAGAAGTATATCGAACCATAGACCAGATACAATACACTTCTGGAAACACCCATACTGGTGAAGCCATTAGAGATATGTGGCAGAACCTGTTCAGTGCCAAAAATGGCGCGCGCCTTGGGGCCATCAAGATCGGCATTGTTATCACTGATGGGCAATCCAGCGACGTGTCTCTTACCACAAACGAGGCCAAGAATGCTAGAGACAATGGTATTAACATGTTTGCTATTGGAGTAGGAACAAATATCAAGGTATTGTTTTGTGTTGTCTTAATTATTTGGACGGAACCTCGTTTGTTCTCGCCCTGAATGTGTCATTTAAATTATCTGGTCAAAAAAGTTATTTGCATGAATTACGATTAAATTGCCTAAGCCTAGGAAAATAAAAATAAAAACAAATAGTGAACAGATGTTAAAGAAATACCGAATACATTCGCTATCTACAAACCAGACATTACAAAAAGGGATAAATGCAGAAATGAGTAAGCCAAACTATTAGAGATGATTTTTTCCAGACAACGGAATTAAACAGTATAGCTTCTGACCCTGATAACCGACATGTGTTCACAGTATCAAGCTTTGCAGATTTTGCCTCCATACAAGCGGATTTTACATCGGGCATATGCAAAGGTATTGTCTTTAACACCAACAGGTGATAAACGTGCTTTTATTCAATCTTTGTGGAGAGTTACTAGCGTTGAAATAATTTTGTCAAAAAGGCGTAATTTGTATTAGTTTGTGAATCCTGTAGACGTCCAGTTAAGGTAACTATCATGCACAGTATAAAAATGAATAAGTTTCCCTTATATTGTAGGTTGTGCAACGTTAGTGGCTGATGTTGCCTTTGTATTAGATGCATCAGGTAGCGTCGGCAGTGCCAATTTTAATAAAATGAAGGATTTCGTTCGGAATTTTGTCAGTTCGTTCATTATTACCAACCAGCATGTTCAGATAGGCCTAATGCAGTTCAGCAGCAGATCCACCATCGAGTCCTATTTCAGCGATACTTCAACGAAAGCAGAAGTTTATCGAGCCATAGACCAGATACAGTACATTTCTGGAGGTACCAATACTGGTGACGCCATCAGAGATATGTGGCAGAATCTATTCAGTGACAAAAATGGCGCCCGCCCTGGGGCCATCAAGATCGGCATTGTTATCACTGATGGGCAATCCAACGACATGTATCGGACCACGTACGAGTCCAAGAATGCTAGAGATCGGGGTATTACCATGTTTGCAATTGGTATTGGAAATGGGATTAAGGTACGTCTATGTTGGAACAGCGCATCGTTCTCGTTCCCAATGTGTTAATTGAATTTTCTGTAGTAAATGAAGAAAATAATTCCGATTAAATTACCGTCACAAATTAATTAAATAAGTTATAATACATTTGATAAATCAATCCAGACAAGAGATGAAGTAACAATCAAATAGTATTTTTGTTTCCAGGTTACGGAATTACAGGGTATTGCGTCTGATCCTGATAGCCGACACGTGTATTCAATAGCAAGCTTTGCAGATTTTGCCTCCATACAGGCAGATTTTGCACAGGGGATTTGCAGAGGGTAGCGTGGCCACAGTGAAAGTTTGTTAAGTTTTTGGGTCGCGTTTAAATGACTTTTGGAAAATTATAACTAAGTGCCCGATTTGAATAAGTTTATGGAAATTGTTAGATATCCAGTCAGGGTAGTAATAAATCCGTATTGCGTATAATCTTCATTTTCTATATAATATCGTGCATTTCGATATAGATGAAATTAAGAAAACTTAAATATATGTTTGGTTGGTGCTTAAGTAGTTGTATTGTGCAGGTGGGACATGTACACTTGTTTAAGTAAGATGTTAAAGGCTTAGTTCTCGAAACACCCTTTTTGCCAATCGAGGAGAACTGTTAAGGAGCTACCAAGGCTTAACCGTATCGTCGAGCAAAACTTGGTGTTCTTTACGCGTTTGAAAATATCCAAAAGCCTTATTTCCATACTGAATAACTTCTTATCTTTCTCAGTTCAGACCTTAAAAAGCGACAAAAATTTATTTAATAAAAGTTAACTTGAAACATGTCTGAAGTTCATATTTCTGCTTTTACCTTTCAACCCGTCAAAGTCCAAGTTTTCAGATAGAAGTGAAAACTGTCCGCATTACGCACGATACCAGGCCACGAAGCAAAAACCCGCGGCTGCCACTCCCGACTCTACGCAGTACCTGTGAAAATTAAGAGAGACGAATGACATTCCAAATGCCTGGTGTAACATTTATATGTTTTTATCAATCATCATTTGTTTGAAAAAGGCTCCAAACCGCAAGTTCTGGCCTTCGCTATTTTAGAAATTTATGGAATTTTTTCTGTCTAATATCTGTATCTTGCAAGTATAACCAACCCTTTCTCGGTATTTATTAAGCCTGCAAACATCTTCATAAAAAAATTTACCAATTTTTGATTTTGATTTTGTCTCTTTTCTTTCTATGTTATTTTCTTTCCTTTTATTTATTTACTAATTTATTTATTTATTGGGGAGGGGAGAGGTAGAAAAGACAGCAGAGCCGACCAGCCGGATAATATTACATGCTAGGAAAGGGTGATGTCTACATGAAGCCCTTTTTTAAACTCTTTTAAGACCCCATTACCACAGATTTTAGATTGATCTATCCCTGTGGGGAGTCTCACTAGATTACTGTCGGCTTAGCCGGCTTAAAGCCCCCGTCACACTTATTCGGAATCAGCAGGAATCAAGCAGAACCAGCCGGAATGACTAAATTAAAAAATTCCTACTGCAATCGGGAAGAAATTTCAAATTGACCTAAATTCTTGTAAGAATGCCGTTGGAATACTCAGAATGCACTTGAATCCGCCTGGAATGATTCGTGCACATTTTGGCTGTATTAGCTCTCAAATGCAGCTCGAATGTAGTTGGAAAACTAAGAATATCAATAATGCTGTCAGAATGAGGTCAGAATATTTAGAATACACTTCGAATGCCGTACAAGTGTTGTTTGATTACTGGCTGAAATAGGATCGAGATTTGTTCGACTTGCATTCCGGCTCATTCTAGCAGGATTTGAAGTGTCTTGCCATTTCGGTTCTTCCTCGAATATGATCAGAATGTTTCGAATGCTGTCGGAATGCCGTGAGAATGTTTAGAATGCAGCCATAGTACGGTTTGAATTTTGAATACTATTCAAATGCCATATTCGGTAATTTTCCTCTTGGAATGCACTTCGAAAGTTTTTCAACATGAGCAAAACATTCGGGGCGGCCATAAGAATGGGTAAAAATATTTGGAATGTACTCGGAATTTTTAGAATGCTCTTCGAATATCCAGGAACGCACAAAGAATTGTCTTTCCGACGGCATTCTTGCTCATTCCGCCTCTAGTTGACGGGGGTATTAAGATTCCACGGTTCGTGTCAGATTTACATAGGGTCACGCAAAAAATTAATCCACATTATGACCAGTTAAACGATTTATTCGTCGATGCTCGGTAGCTACTTATTCTAAGGGAAGTCTCCAACTCCTAACTTTCCGAAATCACGTCTGCTCCGTGCTCCATCTCTCCCAGTCCCCTCCTCTACTCTCTCCTCCTCTCTCTCCTTTTCTTTCCCCCAAGGTATCAATTCTCATCGCTTATCTACTAATTTCTTATCTCACGTGGATCCAAACTTAAATTGCCTATAATTGTATAATTAATTTCTTTTCCTCGGCGTTATACAAATAGATTGCCACACTCGAGAACTATTGGACCACAATACGTTACGTCATATGACCTCATAAGATATCTTTTTGGTCTTTATGTCGGACACGACATCATATCATTTTGGTTAGAACGTTTAAAGTATGATGACTTCGTACATTCGTACGTTCTTTATAGGCACCTTAGTTTCGGTTCTTTCACCGCTACATACAGCGTCTGGGGATGACTCTCAACTGCGTCTAGAACTATCTGATCTGCTAGCCCGCAATGCGCTGGCGATGGACAGATTGAGGGCAGAGTGTAAAGGATATGAAAATTTCGGGTTCCCCCCTGCTTCATCTAATGTGGTTGTTGGCAGACGACAGACCACCGGCGTGGATATACAATTGTTAGTGGATATTGGGTATCAGAAGGCAGTGAACGAACACCTGCTTAAGGTATGCATATGCTTCCAGTTTTCATTAAATTCATTACATGATTAATATCAATACACTCGTAATACTGAAAAAAATAAACGTTTAGGTCCCAACTTTGTCGGCATCCTGCTTACATTTTCGTTTAGATGTCATCTACCGGTAGGTTTCCTCACAATTGTTAATGGATATTGGGTATCAGAAGGCAGTGAACGAACACCTGCTAAAGGTATGCGTGTGCTTCCATTTTTCACTGAATTCATTACATGATTAATATCGATATATATTATACTGAATAAAAACCGCTTCGAACCTACACTGAGAATAAAATTGAAGTCATTTGGCTCTCTAGCCACAGTCCACCACCCCTTGAACCTCATGGAGATAATTTGACTCCTATATTAGGATCAAATTACCCCAGGACCAGAGTCTTTAGACCCTCTTATCCGAGTCAATCCCCCCTTGGCTCTCATGGAGTCAATCTGACTCTAAAATCAGAGTCAAATTATTGGGGCCAGAGTCTGGCTGACCCCTTTCATTGACTCTTTTCGTGCGCTGGTCAGTAAGTCTCGTTTCAGTGTGACGGCGGTTAGCAGACGGCGTGGACAGAACAATTTCACCGCCATTGGTCAACAGGTTTTGTTTCCAGGTTGTAGGTTTGACCCGCCAATGCCAATGCATTTCACAGGGTAGGTACAGTGGATGCTCACAGTGACATATTTGCTATGTCATGCTATTTATTTCCAGTTTTACATGTTGTTTGTTATTGCTGGTTCAACACCATATGCGTTCATTCTTTGTATAAGTATAAAATGTTAAAATCACATGTAGGTCATTTTGAATTTTAGTAAAAACTGGTAACTAAATGATAATGCATCAGTTTAGTGGTTACGGGTTCACAGCGTTTTGGTTTTGTTCTGTATTTCATCAGATTTTTTCTGTTTAATATATTTTAGATACGGTCTGGTGTGTAGGCTATTTGTACATCAGTTGAAAGAGCATTACCATCTTCTGGTTAAGGAGGAATCAGTATTTGAGGAAGAACCAGTGGCATCTCCGGTTATTACATATTCTGGGAACTTCATGGAGGGCACCTACAGGTACTCTGTAAGGGCTGAACATGTGGTCATTAGGAGTTCTAAGTCTTTTATTGAAATTGCAGGCCTATTATTGGCGACATATTTCGTTTTTAATCTAGTTAATCCTACAAACATGAGTGCAACACTGATATTCATCCAAAAAGTTATTGTTGACTACCAAGACAAGGTGAAGGTAGTGCCGAAATTGCACCTTTTACTTACTAGAGTACATGGCCTTAAAATAACAACAGTTTTGGGGGAAATTTCATACACTATTGACTAAGCTGTATGTTTATATGACATCCCCCCCCCCCAAGGTCAAAATTAGTGTTTTGATGACAATTTTTTTCAACAGTTGTAGATGGCTAATTTCATACTTTTAATTGATTCAAATTGTGTAAAAATTGTCTAAAAAAGTTTGGGTATGTTTGCTTTTATTAGCCACAGGGCATTTGAATTACAATTGAATTACAATTTAATGTTTGAAACAATATTTTAACAAAGGCATTTTGTATATGTTAAGTTTACTCCCACCCCTTTATATTGCATGCTATGCTGTCATGGTTTTGTAAAATTTGCAACATTGTATGACTTATTTTGGTATACGAAGATGGGGACCACCAGATTGTCCATATTTCATATTTGTGTGTGTCCCAGCAAATATCACGCCATAGACAAATAGCATAGTACTAGTAATTTTACTGTAAGTAGTACGGCATTATGACACCCCTAGCCTTGTAATAAGTATACAGAATAATGATAATTAGGAACTGAGGTGCTGTCAGCCAGGCAATTTGCTTTGCCACAGTGGGTGTTAATAGGCATCGGTTTTTATTATTAAAACGTGTTTTCTTGTTTGTATTTATCTTTATGTTTCAGTGATTAAAGCTTTTTCCTTAAAGTAAATTATTTTGTTGTTTTCATAATGTGCCAAGGAGTCAAAAATCCTTAATATGGGGTCATGGTGACTCTTTTGTAGAGATAGATGAAGGGATGTATGAACGGAGTCAATTGTGATCCTCTTGTGGGGTCTGGGATGGCGTGACTCCATCGGAGTCAGCTTGACTCCATTTGGGAGTTATTTTAGGCACCACTGTTAGACTCCAAGTTTTGAGTCACTTGGACTCCGATTTTATTCTCAGTGTACCTTTGTCGGCATCCTTCTGACGGTTTCGTTTAGATGTCATCTGCCGGTGGAGTTGTTCACAACTGTGAATATGTTTTCAGTATAAGTAATGACAGATCAAATGAAGCTGTTTTCCCGTGGTACATCTGTTGTTGACTGAGGAAGTAGCCCACGTAATACATGTATGTTAAGCGTACACTACGGTAGCCTTAGGTAGAGAAATATTGCTGAAGGTTAGGTTATAAATAACTGGGAATTTTCAGTGTAACTATGTGCGAATACAATGAAAAAAATAGTATTTTAATAGAGGAAATAGTATACTCTACATATTTAGGCGTTTTTCTGAAATCGAAAAAGATACTTATTTTAGGTACTGAATCCAATGTCTATACTCCATTCGTCTGTTTTTATTAACGACAGCTTTATGGCAACTGTACTAGACATACTACGACCACAAAACCATCTGCTACTACATCGGTGATTACAACGACAACAACATCTTCAACGACGTCTACGACAACTGCTCGTCCAGTGCAATCCTGTAGGGACAAAACGGATTGTTCTAGATACGCAAATGATGTCTGCATCCAATTCCCAGAGTGGAGCGCAGATAACTGCAAATTCTTCTGTGGATTTTGCAGTAGGTTTTGAATAGTTGAAATATATTTTAATGAAATATATAATACCCAAAATGTTTCAAAGTTATATTATTAAAGGCATATCGTGCAGATAAGATCTTTAAGCAGCGAGTAACGAAAAGAACGTTAACGGCTGATCGAGTGACCTATTCAGTTTATCCCTTCGCATGTCGAATTTATTTGACTTGTATAAGAAACTAGAAGAAGTGGTTTTTATGTGTTAATGGGAACCCACACCCCACCGATGCTCGGTTCGTGTGTACCTTTAAAGGCTTAGTCCGCAAATCACCGACTGTGCCTGTATACAATTGTGAATCGGGGTTCCCCCTTCCTCCCCTTCGTTCACCTCTCAAAACGAGAGTCGATCAAGACAAATCAAAATCAAACATTGTACCATTCCTGCTTCCTACATGTCATGGTAAACTTATCTTCTTTAATTAATGACTATAGTGATATAAATAATTTACTTTGGAACAAAATGCAGTAATTTGTGCTCCAAAGTAAGTAATTTCTAGCACTAATTATTAGTTACTCCAGTTGCCAGAAACCATGGACAATCTTATTGATAATCTGTCTTCTACCGGTACTGTTTTATATTTGTGGAAAGAAGGGAAGTACACTGTAGTTATTTGATCACCGTGCCCCACCCTTAGGAGAATCCTGGATCTTTTGGCTTCATATTATAAAACACGTGCTCTCCCTTATACACCGAGGATGACAATATCTGGGCAAGAAGTAGGGGTCAATTAGTACAAATATTTATCAAGGTGGCAATGTAAGACTAGTAAAACATACAGGACACTACTGGTGTGTCCCTTGTGCAGGTAGAGCATATGGCCTAAAAGCCGATATCACCGATACACTTTGTACACTCAAGACGCACGTGTCACCTTCCCATGAGGTATTTCAGTGTTACCTGGCACAACTCAGGCATGGGAATGGGTGTCGGGTATTTAAATTGAACAAATTTTAGTCTACATGTACGTCTATTTACACATACTGCAACTGCTAATTTCACAAGTGATTCAGTGATATATTAAATGTGTCGAATTTAGTTGAAAGCAATTGTTGTACATTCATTCTAGGATATCGTGTGGAACGTCGAAACACGTTTCTACACTGTACCTGTACACTCTTAACGGATCAGACTGGGCATTATTCCCGTTGACACACCTGTCCGTTTTCTTTAACTGAGCGGCCGAGAAGAAGCGTTAGGGAACTGCCAGGGCTAGACCGCATTGTCGAGAAAATTATTCCAATGTCATATTTTTATACTGAATAACTTCTTATCTTTTTCAATTTAGACCTTAAAAACGATAAAAAATTATTTAATAAAAGTAAACTTACAACGTGTCTGAAGTTAATATTTCTGCTTTTACCTTAAAATTCGCAAGGGACAAGACTTCACTTGGGAAATTAAAACCGGCTGCATATACCATGCCAAACCCCGATGCCGCCATTCCCGATTAAACACAGTAAATACTTGTGAAATTTCAGGAGGAAAATTTCAGGACAAATTTTAAAATCTGTTTTCCACCAAGTTGTTCCTTCATCAGTGCCTGTTTTTATATTTGAGGATATTTCTGGGGAAACTTAAAACTAAACATTTGACATTTTAACCGGTGAAATCTAGTTAACATTGACAATGACAGTGGAGTGGAATATTTTTTTCCTCTGTGACTCTGTCTGTAAAAACCAAGTGAAGACTCCGAGCGTTTAACCATATTCCACTTTCGTGCCGTAATTTTGGCCAAACCTGAAGTTAACAAACTCAAATGGTCAACATTATATAAAATACCTATATGCAGTGTAATTTTTTTCTCAGCAATAAAAACATTTTAGGCATTACTTAGTATACTGGTTTCGCCTACTGCATTCTGGTTACACTTGTAATCACGGAATTTTGGAAAACGGGAGTATAACATAAGACATTCAGATATATATCTTTATACCTAATGCCATAATCTAATATCCAAAATGAAAAATAAATCGTGCAGCAAAGCACTGTACTTGCTAGATGTACAGGTATTGTAACATATACTGGCACCTTCGTCATACAAAATGTAATTAACTGATATTGCTTACAATGTTTCAAGCACTGTATTTTAGAAATTGTTCAATACGTTTACTCTATTATTATTTTCTAAAGGGGGGTCGTCCACGTGCGCCGACAAACTCTCCAACTGCGCCGCCTATGGTGACGATGCCTGCACTGGATTTTATGAAGCCTGGGCAAAAGAAAACTGCGCCAAGACATGTAACTTCTGTGGTATGAAAACAATTAATCGTATATAGTATCGGTTTTTTATTTTTTTATTTATTTTTTTTTTGCTAGAAACCATATTGTGCTTTTTTGTTTATTCAGTGTCATGAACTTAAGATACAAAGAAAAACCTCATCTTAAATTGACAAAATAATTTCAAGCTGTTTGTATATAGTACTTCTTAATGCTTCGTAAATGATTTTCTGAGTAGCAAAAGATTCAGAATATTCAGAAGAAACTTAGTAAAATCACAATGGCATAGAATGTTTGAAATTCTGAGACAGCTAGCTAGTCTTCTAATTTCATCGTTTTGGTTTCAGGAGGTGTTCCAGTGCCTCCTATGCCGACTCCGCCTCTGCCAGGTGGTGAGTATTGTTATACCGTATGTTTATGTGAAACGTCTTTAAACATGTGTAACATTAACATGTAAATTAATGGAAATTTAACTTATGTTAGGTTAACTCTTTATACAGCATTCATGTAAAATATACAGTATGTATATATATATATATATATATATATATATATATATATATATATATATATATATATATATATATATATATATAAACATTCTGTTATACGTTCACAGACTGGAATTCTAATTAATTATTACTGCTTTACTGCTGTTTAGTTTCTCGCATGTGCTGTGATATAACATTCATGTCTCCTCATTAACCCAAGCGAAAGTATAAGTACCGGTAAAGGACAAATATGGTGTTCGAAATTTGGCCGGTAGCGGCCGCTTTATTTGAAAGGTCCCTCTAGTAAAAGAATAGTGTTAGTTATTATATGACAATATTGAATTTTATTAAAATTACGTAAAGTTATAGCATAAAAACAAATATCCAAACAAAAAATGCACGTATATTCATTTGTGGGGTTGCAAAGCGCGTACCTAAAAGAGAGTCCCGGATTCAGTGCTGCAAAGTTCCACGAAATTGCCTTAATGATCTCACAAGTTTACAAGGCTGACTTCCATATAAAATACTGCTAAAGGCGCATCACGTTAAAGATGCAGATAAAGAGAGTACTTATATCTAACAATTGCCACTAAACCAGCCATTACTTTAAAAGAGCACAGAATTTTGTTACGTTATTTCCCCAAAAATGATATTTGCTCAGATATTATATGTGCTTTACGGACAGGAAGGGAAATAAGTAGGCCAAATTTACGATCAGAAATTTGAAAAAGATGCAGTTTTGAAGCGTTTTTTACTGCTTCTCTAGAGGGTAATTTTGTTCGGTTGGTTTCTGGTATGTGGATAAAATTTGTGTCGTGTACGAAGCTGGTCTGATAATTTAAAAATGCTGCAAGACATTTACTCTTACTTCCTATGTATTATCTTTGAAATAACTATTGTTGTTGTCTTATTTATTTATTTATTTATTTATTTATTTTTCAAAGAGACCATACAATTTTGGAAACGCTTAAACCATGTGCCTTTTTCAAAATTTTGGATATTACTCTTTGCATTTACTAAAAAGCGCTGGTTAAATATTGGCCTAATTTATGCTTTCTGTCTGAAATAAAGCTTGCAAGGCACCGGTCTAAAGGAGTGGTGGCAGGAACGTATTTATGCACGCGAATGGTTGGCAAAACCGAATTGATGTTTATCACACTCGTTCAAAACTAGACCAAAATGGTCTAGCATTTACTAAAGGATTACAAGATTTAAAAAAATAGGTCTACAAATCTATATCAATAGGAAGGTAAGACTAGGGTACAATTCGGAATTCACTGGACAACAGTATAACCCTATGATTTTATTTAAAAGATGAAATTCTTTATTAAGTTGTGCATTTTGTTTTAGGCCATGGTCTTTACATTAAACACTTTTAAAATCTGTTTTCCACCAAGTTGGTCCTTCTTCAGTACCTGTTTTTATATTTGAAGATATTTTTGGAGAAAATTAAAACTAAACATTTGACATTTTAACCGGTGAAATCTAGTTAACATTGACAATGACAGTGGAGTGGAATATTTTTTCCTCTGTCTGTATAACCAAGTGAAGACTCCGAGCGTTTAACCATATTCCACTTTCGTGCCGTAATTTTGGCCAAACCTGAAGTTATCAAACTCAAATGGTCAACATGCGTTCATTATATAAAATTACCTATTTGCAGTGTAATTTTTTCTCAGCAATAAAAACATTTTAGGCATTACTTAATATACTGGTTTCGCCTACTGCATTCTGGTTACTCTTGCAATCATGGAATTTTGGAAAACGGGAGTATAACATCAGACATTCAGATATATTTCTTTATACAAATTGCCATATTCTATTACCTTACCAGATTCAGTCGGTTGCAAGAAATTCGACACATGACATGAGTTGCATATTTATAAAATTGTATAAAATATCATGCAATTTGATTTACATATTTTACTCCTGCTTACAGAGAATAAATGCACTTTGGTTCATATGTTATGGCATGTTTGCATCACTGATCAAACCAAAATGAAAAATCAATCGTGCAGCAAGGCACTGTACTTGCTAGACGTATAGGTTTTTTAACATATACTGGCACCTTCGTCATACAAAATGTCGTTAACTGATATTGCTTACAATGTTTCAAGCACTGAAACTGAGAAATTGTTCAATACGTTTACTCTATTATTATCTCTTAAAGGTGGGCCGTCCACGTGCGCCGACAAACTCTCCAACTGCGCCGCCTATGGTGACGAGGCCTGCACTGGAGTTTATGAAGACTGGGCAAAAGAAAACTGCGCCAAGACATGTAACTTCTGTGGTAATGAAAACTATTAATCGTATATAGTATCGTTTTTTTTTTTTTTTTGCTAGAAACCATATTGTGCTTTTTTGTTTATTCAGTGTCATGAACTTAAGATACAAAGAACAACCTCATCTTAAACTGACAAAATAATTTCAAAGTGTTTGTATATAGTACTTCTTAATGTTTCGTAAATGATTTTCTGAGTAGCAAAAGATTCAGAATATTCAGAAGAAACTCAGTAAACATCACAGTGGTACAGAATGTTTGAAATTCTGAGACAGCTGGCTAGCCTTCTAATTTCATCATTTCGCTTTCAGGAGGTGTTCCAGTGCCTTTTAAATATGAATATTGAGTGGACAGTTAATATATTGTTTTCATGTTTAAAAGATGCAAGCCATTATACATTAATTTCATTCCGCTCTTTTTGGTTATAATAATATTAGTTAAGCGTTTTAATCGACACGTGTAAATTCAGAGTCTTCGTAAAGCACGTTCACAGCAACACAAGTTAAAACCGGAAATTGCCTTAATGATCTCACAAGTTTACAAGGCTGACTTCCATATAAAATACTGCTAAAGGCGCATCACGTGTGAAGCGATATAAAAATTTCTCTTTTTAAAGATGCAAATAAAGCGAGTACTTATGTCTAACAATTGCCACTAAACCAGCCTTTACTTTAAAAAAGCACAGAATTTTGTTACGTTATTTCCCCAAAAATGATATTTGCTTAGATATTGTATGTGCTTTACGGACTGGAGGGGAAATAAGTAGGCCAAATTTACGATCAGAAATTTGAAAAAAGATGCAGTTTTGGAGCGTTTTTCACTGCTTCTCTAGAGGGTTATTTTGTTCGGTTGTTTTCTGGAGTATGGATTAAATTTGTGTCGTGTGCGAAGCTGGTCTGATAATTTAAAAATGCTGCAAGACACTTACTTCCTATGTACCTTTGAAATAACTATTGTTGTTGTCTTATTTATTTATTTATTTATTTTCAAAGAGACCATACAATTTTGGAAACGCTACCACCATGCGCCTTTTATTTAATTTTGGATATTACTCTTTTCATTTACTAAAAGGGCTAATTAAATTTTGGCCTAATTTATGCTTTTTGTCTGAAATAAAGCTTGTAAGGCACCGGCCTAAAGGAGTGGTGGCGGAAACGTAATTATGCACGTGAATGGTTGACAAAACCGAATTGATGTTTATCAGACTCATTCAAACCTAGACCAAAATGGTGTGGCATTTACTAAAGGATTACAGGACTTAAAAAAATAGGTCTACAAATCTACATCAATAGGAAGGTGAGACTAGGGTACAATTAGAAATTCACTGGACAACAGTATAATTAACCTGAAATTTTTTGAACTGAAGATTTCAGTTGAAGATTTGAGATAACTTGTAGCTTAATTGTATCATGCGCGTGAACAGAATGAATCTAGCAAAATGAGGCCAGGCAGTGATGCCCCATGGTATAAGTAGCAACATGTGCCTCAATGGAGATTACCCCTCTAGGGCACAATTGAGCATGTGCAGAATGCACATGTGCGTAATTAAGCTCTGGAGATTGTTGTCGCCATAAAATGTCGTTTGACTACGCCAAACTTTCCTATATGCAATGTAATTTTTTCTCGGCAATAAAAACATTTTAGGCATTACTGAGTATGCAGGTTTCGCCTGCTGCATTTTGGTTACTCTTGCAATCACGGAATTTTGGAAAACGGCAGTATAACATCAGACATTCAGTTATATATATATCTTTATACATAATGCCATATTCTAATCTCTTACCAGATTCAGTCGGTTGCAAGAAATTCGACACATGACATGAGTTGCATATTTATAAAATTGTATAAAATATCATGCAATTTGATTTACATATTTTACTCCTGCTTACAGAGAATAAATGCACTTTGGTTCATATGTTATGGCATGTTTGCATCACTGATCAAACCAAAATGAAAAATCAATCGTGCAGCAAGGCACTGTACTTGCTAGACGTATAGGTTTTTTAACATATACTGGCACCTTCGTCATACAAAATGTCGTTAACTGATATTGCTTACAATGTTTCAAGCACTGAAATTTAGAAATTGTTCAATACGTTTACTCTATTATTATTTTCTAAAGGGGGGTCGTCCACGTGCGCCGACAAACTCTCCAACTGCGCCGCCTATGGTGACGAGGCCTGCACTGGAGTTTATGAAGCCTGGGCAAAAGAAAACTGCGCCAAGACATGTAACTTCTGTGGTAATGAAAACTATTAATCGTATATAGTATCGTTTTTTTTTTTTTTTTTTTTTTTTTTTTTTGGCTAGAAACCATATTGTGCTTTTTTTGTTTATTCAACATCATGAACTTAAGATACAAAGAACAACCTCATCTTAAATTGACAAAATAATTTCAAGCTGTTTGTATATAGTACTTCTTAATGTTTTGTAAATGATTTTCTGAGTAGCAAAAGATTCAGAATATTCAGAAGAAACTCAGTAAAAATCACAGTGACACAGAAGTAAAATCGAGTAAAATGCTCTTCGATACACAGTTGAACCTTACAAATAACCTGCCATTGTGAATAAGTATATTGGCGAGTACAATGATATATCAGTCGATAAGTTCAGCATGTGAGTGCTATCCAGTCTAAGCGTGCTATATGGGCCATTCTACAAAAATGTTAACATTTGAGTCACGCCTATGACGCACACACTTAGTCCGCATTCTCAACGAATGCAGCCAGGCTTTACAAATCCTGAGAACTAAAAATGGCGGACGTACATGAGAGAAAAACCGCCTTATCTTTTAATAGTCTCTCCGCCTCTCACACGCCTCCCCACACGGCGTCCCTGCGGGGTACAGTAATTAAATCTCGGCTCCGAACATGAATATCTCCGTGAATATCTCTGGTAATATTATCTCCGTAGATAGCCGATCCATTGCTGCTCTACGGGCCAATTCATTCCTTTTTGCGTCTCTGTTTTGAAAGATAATAGAACAGAAGAGCTTCTTTCCTTCGATCGCCTTCAGCCGCCATGCTTTCTTCACCACGATTTTAACTGATGAGCATGCGCACTTAATATTTCTCAGGTAGCTTCTGCATGGCGAACGGAGCCGAGATTTAATTACTGTACCCCGCAGGGACGACGTGTGGGGAGGCGTGTGAGAGGCGGAGAGACTATTAAAAGATTACAGGCCTACCCAACTACCAGACTCAGCACCTAAGGATCCTGAATTAACCGGTATATCGGACCACGCTACCCGTTTTCAAGGTGTGTGTCAGATCGCATTTCGGAGTATCATACCCCAGAACAAATTTTGTAGCACGACTGCGGGCTCATCCACGCTCGGCTGAACAACCTTAAACTGTACTCTTACTTTAGAGTACTCTATTTCATTGTCTCTATGGGAATATATGGGGACTTTACGACATTCGGTTTGAATGTTTTAACCACTTTTGATAGGGCTTTTTTGCACTGTATTAGATTAATGTGGCAGTCTAAGGTTAATCTAGGTGGCTTTCAAATTTATGCACCCGGTTTTAAAATCATATAGCGATTTTACGACAATCATTTACTATCCAATCAAGGTGACAGCCGAGCATGCCAGGGCTCATCCCGTCGGTGTTCTGGCTGATACTCCGAAATGCGATCTGACACACACCTTGAAAATGGGTAGTGTGGTCCGATATACCGGTTAATTCAGGATCCTTAGGTGCCGAGTCTGGTAGTTGGGTAGGCCTGGATTAGGCGGTTTTTCTTTCATGTACGTCCGCCATTTTTAGTTCTCAGGATTTGTAAAGCCTGGCTCAATTCGTTGAAAATGCGGTCTTAGGTTGATAATTGCACAACTGTTTTATATTACTTTTTTATTGTTTATATATCTCTATGAAGCATGGATATTTTTTCCTATTGGAGGATATTGTTTTGTGAGGAAGAGAAAATAATGAGGAAAGTTAGAATTATGCAAAAATTTTAGCGTCACTAACACGACTCAATTATTCACAATTTGTGGATTAACATTTAAATCTCCTGTTCGTCTGTGTTTTCTTTTACACATTGATTTTGCTTATTCCTGTGAATATTTTTCCATGTCTGATATTTAATTGAGTTCAGGTTCACAAGCCGGTGGTTCAACCGGTGGCTCTACTGGGGTGTAGTTCAGAGCAGTAAGCTGTTTTCGTTTGTTTTCACAACTATCAATATCTTTTCTTTAAAAGAATCATCAAATGACTGCGGAATCAAATACAGCATACGTGAAATAAAGGCTGTATTCTTAGTTATACCGTATGTCTGTTTGAACACATGTAGGTGGCTTCGTACAGAATCTGATATGGTAATTCATATTTGTACGGTTTAGGAACGTTCGTGTACAGTCGTTTTCGTATTACGTTATGTTATGCTGTTTCTTATGGCCGGTCTCGATATAAAAATTGCTGTTTGTTAAGCGTAATCCAAATGTGATGTTTGCTTATATAGACAGTGTCGTATGCAGTGAATAACGTGATCAAAATATAGTATCTCTGCTATAGGCGGGTGCATATACCAAGGACAAACGTATAGACAAGGCTGGACGTGGAAAGACGGGTGTAATTACAACTGCGAATGTGTAGATGGGTCAACAGGCTTCTACAGATGTACAGAAAGGTAACAGGTTAAATTGAAGAAATGGAGGATGGTTGGTTAAACCGTAAGCCCTTCATAACTGTATTTTACTACGATATAAACTATGAGCTATAAGTAGGTGCAGCTGTTTGGTAATTTGCTATAATTCGAGCTAACACGTTAATAATAGTACATGTATAACAACAGTCTTAATGGATTTCAACCAGATCTACTGCACTTGAACAGCTGTCAGTTCTTCGCTAATATAAATAATTTTTTACATAAAAGAAACGAGGAAAAACATATTAAGGTATTTCTCCTTCTGTTCAATTTAGATGTCCCAAATACGATACTACTGGTTTCCCGCCACAGTGCTCAATGCAACCAGATCCAAACGACTCTTGCTGCAGGAAGCCAGTATGCAACTTGGGAGGAAGCACTGGAACCGGAAGTGGCACTGGGACCTACCCAGGTATTTTCAAATGAGACGCACCTTTTTCTGGATTTCTTCATAGACTTCTATGTTCTGTGTCTAGATTGTAGTGAAAACAATACTGGGAATTTATAATCATTATTTTTCGTTGGTATTTGCTTTATAATAAAGCATATTTTTTAAAATTCCTTATCAGCATCCGGCTGTCTCTATAATGGCAAGACATACAAACAGGGAGAAAAGTGGAAAGATGGATGCAAGTACAGTTGCACCTGCACGAATGGGGCTACAGGCCTATACACGTGTAGTGCCATGTAAGGCAAAGTTGTTTTCATCAGTGTTATACAGCATTTGACAAAATCGCATTGTCGTCTCCTGTTAAAATGTATGAATGATGAAAATTCGTTCTCTACTTATTTGAAGGCAAACTTAAACATTTCTGGTAATAACTTTTCCGAGTGCACTACCTACAACAATGTTGGACCACGTAAAAGTATAGATCTTAATTGGCGAAAAGTTAAAGTCAATAATTATTAATAGAGAATGAAGATTGTTTTTTTGTGGGAACTGTGGGGTAATATTATATTTTGGGATTCAAGCATACTGGAAATCATAAGCCACGTATCGGTTTGCGAAAGAACCAAATGCCTTCCCTACATACACATTTGTACGATAGCGGTGATGGAATCTTTTTTTTACTTGTGGAGTACAATAGTTTGTTTCAAATGCGAAAGAGACTAAAAACAGACAAAAATTAAACCTGTGGACCGTGAACGCTTTTAGGTATGGTTTGACTCTTAAGGTAAAAATGTTGAGATTTCAAGGAAATAATTATTTTTCTAAGTAAAGGACTTGCGCTCATTTTGTGTATCTTTCAAAGCATAATTTATATCTTTCTCTCTCTACAGGTGCCTCAACTGGCAGTTACCAGAGGTTTGTTCCCTCCAGCCACGTCCAGGGAAATGTTGTCCTAAACCTTCGTGCCCACCTAACTATAGTATTAACTACCCACCAGGGATGTCCGAGAGCACCTTGCCATAGACACCTGTATGTCCACGTGATACCTACTTGATGCAGCTGCTTGCACTTGTAGAACAGACACAGAGAAAAGATGCTTGAAAATAGTTGAGAATATTTCTCCATGCTCATTTACGAGACTTGTTAATCAATTGATAGTATTGCTCAAGATTGCAATAATCTCGTCGATTTGTTTGTGCTTGTGATGATTTGAAATAAACAGGTGAGAGTTTATTATGCAGTTTTACAAATCTTTCAGCAACACGCAAGAAAAAAGCCCTCCTCTATCGTGCAGACCCCTACATTCAAATTTGCACGGTAGCGGTGATGGAATCTTTTTTACTTGTGGAATTCAATAGTTTGTTTCAAATGCGAAAGAGACTAAAACAGACAAAAATTAAACCTGTGGGTCTTGAACGCCTTTATGTAAGGTTTGGCTCATAAAATAAAAATGTCGAGATTTTAAGGAAATAATTATTTTTCTAAGTAAAGGGCTTGCGCTCATTTTGTGTATCTTTCAAACCATAACTTATTTTCGATCTATAGTAGATCCTTGTTTGAGCACTAACAAAATATCTCTCGTGAAAAAGGCAAATTCTTTCCGGCAGATGTCGTAAAAGTCCACTCTTTAGTCGTGTCTTTGGCACCTATCCAGAAATGACTGCCTGGGTACTTTTGAGCATGCAGGTACATGTAGTCATTTTCCGATTGGTTTTCAATAACCACCAAGCTTGCACCCACAGACGCACACGCACAGTTTTTGTCTGCTTCCGACCACGAGACTGCTTCGTCAACGTAGAGGTACTGGCTATTCTAATTGATCGTCCATTGCACTGGAAGCAAGAAAAAATGCAGTATTATCGAGAGCTTTGTCTGTGATGAAAAGCCGGTACTCATGATACTAAATTTCACACCAGATTAAGATGTAATAAAAACGAATTGTTATATTAAAATCAAGAAAGCGAAACCAGACCTTTAAGTTTGCGAATGAACTCACGTTTTCTCTTGCAAACGAACCATTGTGCCGAGCTACAATCCCTGTCATTCCAGCTCCCACTTTGTTGGATCTCTGCGCAGTCTTCGTTGTTGCCTAGGTCATTTGGTCCAGAACCACCCCAACCTGAAGTAGAAATAAAATAAAATAATGTACTAGTATTCACCTTTAATGGCAATGAAGTTTGAAAATGTTGTTCTTGCAGCATAAAGGGGGGATGCATTATACCAGAAGACAGGTGCACTTTCAATGAAAGCATAAATGTTCCTGTACCAAGCTCTTTTATTTCTGTCAGTAAATTCCTCTCTATAAATGGCAATCGTATAAGCTACATCAATCGTTGATATTCGAAGAAACCAGGGAAATATTGTAGACGAGATGCATGTTTTCTATACTAGAACGCAATTTTATCAAAGTAGCCTACCTGTGAAAGCAACTGAGTTGCCTTTGACAATCATCCAAGTACCCTCAGCCCTTATGCCGTTGATCCCTATCCAAATATTGTTCACGGCCTTATTTTCGATGGACACGATGAAATCGTTGTCGCCTTGGTTCTCAACAATGGCGAGGTCGCCACCTGCTTACCAGTGTACATAAAAATTTGACTCCCCCAAAATGTGACTCCCTGGCCAAATTTTCATAATGAAAATGTGACTCCCCGAAGAAATTTTGACTCCCCCACAAAACTTTGTAAATCCTAATTTATTTCATTATATGACTTTTATATTGAAGTATGCATAATGGAGAAAGATAATTGCCCCCACGCTCTGTCTTTTTGATCACGAAGTCGACGTACTTGGTGTAATTACCAGTCACGCCTCTATTGGCAGAAAGAAAGAGATGATAAAAAGTTTGCCTTTTCAGTTAATGTCACACCAGATTAAGATATAATAAAAACGAAATGTTAGATTAATATCAAGAAAGCTGAACCAGACCTTTAAGTTTGCGAATGAACTCACGTTTTCTCTTGCACACGAACCATTGTGCCGAGCTACAATCCCTTTCATTCTAACTCCTACTGGGGTAGGTGGGCAGGCCCACTAGGATAGGCCAGTCATTGGATACGTCAAGTAAACATGTACACCAACGAGACTTTTAAGTTAAAACTCCTATCATGTCGGCTTTCCGTAAGTGATCGTGCAGAGGGTATCAACGTTGTCATACGCTAATGACGACGATGGTGGTCTAAGGGTGTCCTTGATTGCAAAGGAGTGCGCGTTCACATTTGTACTGACATATCCAGGATTTTGCAAAAGGAAGGGGTATACCGAGTAAATGGTGACATGCATAAAAATAAACATATGCCCATCGAAGCGGTAGACAAGGGCATTGTTGCATGAATATCCAGGGCATAAAGATGGGGACGGTTTTGAGTTTGACTCTTTTCTTTCGAAGTAATCTTCTTTTCTTTTATTTATTTGCTAATTTATTTATTTTGGGGGGAGGGGAAAGGTAGGAAAGACAGTAGAGCCGGCCACCTGGGAAATATTTCAAGCTAAGGATGGGGAGATATCTATATGAAGCCCTTTTTCAAACTCTTCTAATAGTACATTTGCTCGTCGGAAAATCAGCCGAGGGACCCTTTATGACTCCTTATTAACCGAAGTAAAAGTATAAGTAAAGGACAAACACAAATATGGTGTTCGAAATTTGGCCGCTTGCATTGAAAGGTTCCTCTAGTAATGGGTTCTGGTAGAGAGAAAGAGAGACATTTCCCCCGCTTTACCCGTTTGACTTCACTAGACAGTCCCTATTGTCTAGACAGTCCCTAGGTATTGTCTTTCTTGTTATAAAACGGACACAATAAATGTCTTGTAATTGGACTGTCACTGATTTATCTTGGATCAAAACAGACTCAAATTAGGGGCATTTATCCGTATATCCTTTTGGTAAAAAAAGCCCATTTTTATGGTTAAATGCGTATTTATTATGGGACATATACCGAGAAGGGTGAACACAGTCCGTGTAGTTAACTGCTGAAAAAGCGGCCAATGACGCAACTGCTTATGTGACTTTATGCACATCAGGATTAGCTAGCAAAACGGAAGATCTGCAGCTTACTCCTTGAATAATTTCATTGTAATGAACCTTTTCATACATATGGAATGAATGTCCTAAACTAATATAATTTTAGTACGCTTAATTCAAGCGTGGGCTCGAATTAGGGCATTACGTTTTTGACTAACTGAACGGATAACGCAATTTAAAGATTCCACGGTTCATGTCAGATTTACATAAGGTGCAAAAAAAAAAGTCCACATAACTGTAGCTACATATTGTAAGTGAAGTCTTCAACTCCTAACTCTCCGAAATCACGTCTGCCCTCTGCTCCGTCTCTCCTAGTCCCCTCCTCTACTCTCTCTTCCTCTCTCTCCTATTCACTCCCCCAAGGTATCAATTCTCATCGCTTGTATACTAATTTCTTATCTCACGTGGATCCAAACTTTAATTGCTTATAATTGTATAATTAATTTCTTTTCCTCGGCGTTAAACAAATAGGTTGCAACATTACTCGAGAACTATTGGACCACAACACGTTACGTCATATGACCTCATGAGATATCTTTTTGGTCTTTATGTCGGACACGACATCATATCATTTTGGTTAGTACCTTTAAAGTATGATGACTTCATACATTCGCACGTGCTTTATAGCCGCCTTAGTTTCGGTCCTTTCACTGCTCCATGCAGCGTCTGGTGATGACTCTCAACTGCGTCTAGAACTATCTGATCTGCTAGCCCGCAATGCGCTGGCGATGGACAGATTGAGGGCAGAGTGTAAAGGATATGAAAATTTCGGGGCCCCCTTTGCTCCTACATCTAATGTGGTTGTTGGCAGACGACAGACCACCGGCGTGGATATACAGTTGTTAGTGGATATTGGGTATCAGAAGGCAGTGAACGAACACCTGCTAAAGGTAGGCCCTATGCCTAATGCTTCCAGTTTTCATTGAATTCATTACATGATTAATATCAATACATTTGTAATACTGAAAACAAATAAGCGTTTAGGTCCCAACTTTATCGGCAGCCTGCTTACATTTTCGTTTAGATGTCATCTACTGGTAGATTTCTTCACAACTGTTAATATTTTTTCAGTGTAAGTATTGACATATCAAATGAAACCGTTTTCCCGTAGTAGATCTGTTGTTGACTGAGGATCGAAATAGCACACGTAATATGTTAAGCGTAGAGTATTCTATAAGGTAGAGAAATACTGCTGAAGGTTTCTCAGTATTATTATGTAGAGATGCAATGGAACTATTATCATTTCTAATGGAGTAAACAGTACACATATTTAAGCGTTTTTTTAAGTTAATAATACTTCGATGAGACCAATGTTAATAAAAAACACAATATGAACGAAGTAAACTAGAGATATAATAGAAATGATACTAACTTTAGGTAATTTAGGTACTGAGTCCTAAACGTCTATACTTCATTCACGATAGCTTTATGGCAACTGTACTAGACATACTACGACCCCAAAACCATCTACTACTACAACAGTGATTACGACAACAACAACATCATCAACGCCGTCTACGACAACTGCTCATCCAGTGGAATCCTGTATGGACAAGACAGATTGCTCTAGATACACAAATGATATCTGCATCCAGTTTTTAAAGTGGAGCGCAGATTACTGCAAATTCTTCTGTGGATTTTGCGGTAGGTTTTGAATAGATGGATAGTATTTCAACAAAGATATAATTTCTCAAATGCTTTAAAATTATTAAATGCATACCAAAAAGGCATAAGAAAAATAATAATACTGAGAAATAAAAATAGAGTCTTGGAATTTCAGTTTAAAATTTTTTCTCCGTAGTCATAAATATAATATCATTCTATAGCCGATCACGGATTGACCATCTAGAAACCGTTTCTTGAGTTTTAATTTTCTAAGTTTTGATAATATTTTGGTTCTTTTCAGGTTGTTCAACGTTGGTGGCTGATGTTGCCTTTATATTAGATGCTTCAGGAAGCGTCGGCAGTGCCAATTTTAATAAAATGAAGGATTTCGTTCGGAATTTTGTCAGTTCGTTTAATATCGGCAACCAGCATGTTCAGATAGCCTTAATTCAATACAGCAGCAGATCCACCATCGAGTCCTATTTCAGCAATGCGTCTTCAAAGGCAGAAGTATATCGAACCATAGACCAGATACAGTACATTTCTGGAGGCACCAATACTGGTGAAGCCATCAGAGATATGTGGCAGAATCTGTTCAGTGCCAAAAATGGCGCGCGCCTTGGGGCCATCAAGATCGGCATTGTTATCACTGATGGGCAATCCAGCGACATGTCTCTTACCACAAACGAGGCCAAGAATGCTAGAGATAGGGGTATCAACATGTTTGCTATTGGAGTGGGAGTAAATATCAAGGTATTGTCTTGTTGTATCAAACCTCGTTTGTTCTGGCCCTGCATGTGTCATTAAAATTATCTGGTCAAAAATAGTTATTTGCATGAATTAAGACTTAAATTGCCTAAGCTTAACAAAACAAAATAAAAATGAAAACAAATAGTGAACAGAGTTAAAGAAATACCGAATACAGCCGTTAATCTACTAACCAGATATTACAAAAAGGGATAAATGCAGCAATGAGTAGGCCAAACTATTTGAGATGTTTTTTTTTCCAGACAACGGAATTAAATAGTATAGCGTCTGACCCTGATAATCGACACGTATTCTCAGTATCAAGCTTCGCAGATTTTGCCTCCATACAAGCGGATTTTACATCGGGCATATGCAAAGGTATTGTCTTTAACACCAACAGGTGATAAACGTGCTTTATTATCCAATCTTTGTGGAGTTACTTGCGTTGAAATGATTTTGTCAAAAAGGCGTAATTTGTATTAGTTTATGAATCTTGTTGACGTCCAGTTAAGGTAATTATCATGCACAATATACAAATAAATAAGTTTTCCTCATATTGTAGGTTGTGCAATGTTAGTGGCTGATGTTGCCTTTGTATTAGATGCATCAGGTAGCGTCGGCAGTGCCAATTTTAATAAAATGAAGGACTTCGTTCGGAATTTTGTGAGTTCGTTCATTATTACCAACCAGCATGTTCAGATAGGCCTTATGCAGTTCAGCAGCAGATCCACCATCGAGTCCTATTTCAGCGATACTTCAACGAAAGAAGAAGTTTATCGAGCCATAGACCAGATACAGTACCTTTCTGGAGGCACCAATACTGGTGTCGCCATCAGAGATATGTGGCAGAATCTGTTCAACGACAAAAATGGCGCTCGCCTTGGGGCCATCAAGATCGGAATTGTCGTCACTGATGGACAATCCAACAACATGTTGCTAACTACAGCAGAGGCAAAGAATGCCAGAGACCAGGGTATTACCATGTTTTCGATTGGCATTGGAAATGGAATTAAGGTACGTCTTTGTTGGAACAACGCATTGTTCTCGTTCGCAATGTGATAATTGAATTTTCTGTGGTAAATGAAGAAAAGAATTCCGATTGAATTACCGTCACAAAATAAATTAAACTAGGTATAATACATTTGATAAATCAACCCAGATTAGAGATGAAATAACAACCAAAGAGTATTTTTGTTTCCAGGTGACGGAATTACAGAGTATTGCATCTGATCCTGATAGCCGACACGTGTTTGTAATAGCAAGCTTTGCAGATTTTGCCTCCATACAGGCAGAATTTGCACGTGTCATTTGCAAAGGTTAATGCCGACAGACGATAAGCATGGTCACAATGAAAGTTCGAGGACTTTTTGGTTGCGTTTAGATGACTTATGGAAAAGTATGACTAAGTGCCTGATAAATAAGTTTAATGAGATTGTTTGACATCCAGTAAGGTCAATAAAAATCTGCATGGTATATAATCGTCATTTTCTTCATAACCCTCCGATGTAAATTAAAATAAGAAAACTTAAATATATGACCGGTTGATATTTTAGTGGTTGTATTGTTCAAGGGACAATACACATGTTCAAGATTTTAAAGATGCATACAAAGCCAACCAAATGCCAGCATATAGTTTCAAGTATAGTATAACTAAGAGAATTGCCTAAAGGCATTGTATAATTTTACCGGAAAATGATGTTTGAAGGGATTTTTCTGCTAGCATTCTATGCTGTATGTCAATGGGCAGAAAAGTAGGTCACGAAAGTAGTTACATTTTTGACCAAAATTTTTAAGAAAGGAGCAGTCTAAAGCTCTTTTAAGGCTGATCGAGTGATCTTTTCAGATTATCCCTTCCCATTTCGAATTTAGAAGAAGTGTTTTTTAGTTGTTTATTCGAATCCACACTCCACCGATGCTCGGTTCGTATGTACCTTTAAAGGCTTAGTCCGCAAATCACCAACTGTGCCTGTATACAATGGTGAATCGGGGTTCCCCCTTCCTTGCCTTCGATCACCTCTCAAAGTGAAAGTCGATCAAGACAAATCAAAATCAAACATTGTACCATCCCTGCTCCCTACATGTCATGGTAAACCTATTTTCTTTTAATTAATGACTATGGTGATATTGATAATTTACTTTGGAACCAAATGCAATAATTTTGCAATAGCACTTATTATTAGTTACTCCAATTGCTTGAAACCACGGGCAATCTTATTGATAATTTGTCTTGTACTGTTTTATATTGGGGAACGAAGGGAGGTAATTATTTTATCCCCACCCTTGGGAGATCCTTGGATCTTTTGACTGAATATGATAAAGCACGTGCTCTCCCCTATACACCGAGGATGACAACATCTGGGCAAGAAGGTGGGGTCAAGTACAAGTGTTTATCAAGGTGGCAATGTAAGACTAATAAAACGTACAGGACACTACTGGTGTGTCCCTTTTGCAGAGCATATGGCCTAAAAGCTGATATCACTGATACACCTTGTACACTCAAGACGCACGTGTCACCTTCCCATGAGGTATTTCAATGTGCACATGGCACAACTCAGGCATGGGGTGGGGTGTCGTTATTCAAATTTAACACATTTTAGTCTACATGTACGTCTATTTACACATACTTGGTACACGCAACTACTAAATTCCACAACCGATTCAGTGATATATTAAATTTGTCGAGTTTGCAATTGTTGTACATCATTCTAGGATCTCGTAGGGATTGTCGAAAAACTCTTCTACATTGTACCTGTACACTCTTAACGGGCTGACTGGGCATTAACCCCGTTGACTCACCTGTCCGTTTTCTTAACTGAGCGGTCGAGAAGAAGCGTTAAGAAACTGTGTTTACGCGTTTGAAAATATTCCAATGCCATATTTTTATACTGAATAGCTTCTTATCTTTCTCAATTCAGACCTTAAAAACGATAAAAATTTCTTTAATAAAAGTGAACTCGAAACGTGTCTGAAGCTAATATTTCTGACCTTAAAATTTGGCAAGGTCCAAGTCTTTACGCGATAAATTAAAATCGGCTGCATTATGCACGATACCAGGCCTAACCTCGAGGCCGCCATTCCCGATTCTGCGCATTACTTGTGAAATTTCAGGAGAACGGATGGCACTCCAAATGCCTGGTGTAACATTTAATATTATTATTATTTTTGAAAATGACTTAAGAACACTGTAGGCGTTTGCCAAAAATCCGTATTTACTTCCTTACATACATGTACATACTTTGAGATAACAGGTAAATCTCCAGTGCTCAGTGACTTAATTAAATAACATTTACACTTCACCTTACGGACGACGCCATAATTCCGGTTTGGGGGTAAAAATGGAAAAATCTATTTCTCAAATTTTTCCTTCACCTTAGCACTCACGAACACCGTTTGAACGACAATTTAATAACATCATCAAAACCCTGCCATCGATTTTTCTTAAAAGCCTTAGTTCAGACATTTATCGTTGATAAAGCAAAAAAAATACCTTGTTTAATGAAAAACTGTTATTATAGGGGCTCATAACTCAATAATAAAATAACAAAATGACGGCAAGGAGATGCAGCCCTTACACTTGTTGTCAACTATGCTAATTTCTGTGATAAAATCTCGTCCAGGGATGAAGTTACATGTACGTCCCATGGCGATTGTTATCTCTCCTCTAAATAGAAATGTGTTAAATGTGCCGATAAAAGCTTAGAGTTGCCTATCCTCAAACATAGAAACGAGATACATAAACGCTGATATTTTATACTTTTGAGGAGATTCTTTATAGTTTTAAATCAGCACAAAGGTAGATGCATAATTGAATAATTAGATGCAGAAAAAATGTATTTCAAGCATCCGGATGATAATAAACCCTTACAATATAAAAATTTCCCGGTATTTTTCAAGAGATTGGCAACGTAATAACTTGGCCTATTGAAACACAGCGGCAAATCCACCATTGAGCTCAATTTCAACAACTTGTCCACGAAATCAGAAGTTTATTGAGTCATAGACCAGGTTCAGTACCGTCCTGGAAGCAATTATACCAGTGGCGCCATCAGAGATATGTGGCAGAATCTATTCACTGGCAGGAAGGGCGCGCGCCCTGGGGCCATTTAAATTGGTACTGTCGTCACTGTTGGAGTATCAATATACCTGTCGCTCACCACAAAAGAAGCCCAGAATGCTAGAGATTGCGGATATTGCCATGTTTGCAATCGGCATAAGAAGAAATATTTAGGTGTGTTTTAATATGACCAATGCATTGGTCTTGTTCATGATGTTCAATTTGTATGACTTCAGACTTTATTGCCGTCATAAAAATAATGAATAAAAATATAAATTAGACTCAACAAAAATATATATGATTAAAACTGAATTTATTGATAGTTTTGTGAACTATACTAGCCAAAAAAGTTTTTGTTTTGACAACAGTGCTTCAAAATGCCCAAATATGCACATATTATTGTGATCTCCGTATACAGTGGCAGAATTTTGGAAGCAGTCTCCTCGAATCGCTGGATATTTTTTTGTAATATTCAAATAAGATGACAGTAAATCCCAACCCCACTAGTAAAAGATGGCAGTAAAAAAAATCTCAAAAGTCTTGAATTGAAGTTATAAAATAATGATAATAAATCCAATATGTACCTGTAGACTACGCGCCGAGAAGAACTGTGAATGGGCCAATACACATAACCTCTGAATTCCACAACTGATCTATTGAATGCATCAATTTCGATCAACGCAATAGCTTTATAAAATACTAGTATGGCGTAAAATTTTAGACACTCTGAGACAGATTGGGAGATGAATCCGATTGACACGCTTGTCCGTTATCTTTGCCGAAACGTCTCATCTAAGCATATTTCGGAACTTTTCCACATTTTATAAGAGTAACCCAGGGAATGATATAGTTTGTTTACCACCATTTAGATTTTTGTAATATTTGTTTTCAATCGCAGCATTTTAACATTAAATAAAGTGTTATATTTACAAAGAAACGGACGTCTTGTCAACATATTACATTTAATAGACAGACGTAGGAGTAATTGGGTCTTAAGGAGTGAAATATACATTGCTTTTGTGCGTTTGTCACTGGGTCACTGGAAATGCAATATATATGTAGGCGGTGTCCTTTGATCAAATTTAAGCCTTACCTCACAACGTCCCATTAACACTGGCAGTCTGTTTCTTCAAAGAAGGTTAGTACCACTTTCCCAATTAATTAATTTCAGACTAAATCTTTAAAACTTGATATTATTCCCTACATTTACCGAGTATTGTATCCAGTTCTAAGACAAAAGTGCCGAAAATAGAATACTGTCTCTTCAAGTTTGTTGTTTTATATATATATCTATACTTGTCAATTTATTTTCAATTTTCCCTCTGATAATTCCCTTGACATGACACCTGTTTCCGCCGAGTACGACCAAACAGATAATCTCAGCAGCGTGTGTGCAGTGGACGACATTTGACCCCAGGATAGATACCCTGTATATAGAACGCAGAATGATTCCTTTGATCTCAATTAGCGCACCAAAATGCTGCCGCTACAACTGTGTTTGGTTGCCCTCGTCGTGGGCTGTGTGTATGGACAGGGGCTATCCCTGACGATGACCGGTGAGTGGACAGTTAATGTATGGTATTTATATATAAAAGATGGAAGCCATTTTACATTTATTTCATTCCGCTTTTTTTCGTGATAATAATATTAGTTTAGCGGTTTAATCGACACGTGTAAATCCAGTCTTCGTTAAACGCGTTCACAGCAGCACAAGTTCAAACCGGAAATTGCCTTAATGATCTCACAAGTTTACGAGGCTGACTTCCATAAAACACTGCTAAAGGCGCATCACGTGTCTAACGGAAGTGACATGAACATTTGCACACTTCTCTTTTTAAATATGTAAATAAAGCGATTGCCACTAGATTTGTGTTACATTATTTCACGAAATTTGATATTTGCTCAGATATTTTCTGTGCTTTACAGACAGGATGGGAAATAAGTAAGCCAAATTTTAAGATCAGAAATTTGAAAAAGGTGCTGATTTGGATCGTTTTTACTGCTGCCCTAGAGGTTTTAGCGATATAAAATAGCGTTCGGTTGCTTTTCAATCATGTGGATTATATTTGTGTCGTGTTGTTATCTTTTATTTTTTCGACCATACAGTTTTTGGATACGCTACCATCTTGCGCCTTCTATTTCATTTTGAATATTACTCTTTACATTCCTATAAGCGCTGGATAGTTTTGGCCTAATTTATGATTTTTTAAATTAAGCCTCAAGGAGTGGTGTCAAGAACGTAATTATGCACGAGAATGGTTGGCAAAACCGAATTGATGTTTATCACACTCATTCAAAACTAGTCCCTAATAGTGTAGCATTAACTACAGGATTACAGATTTTAAAAAGTAATAGGTCTAAAAATATAAAAGATTATATATCAATAAGAAGTTGAGAGTAGGGTACAATTAGAATTTCA